AACAACCAATCCCTGAGCAGGAAATCCAACCAACCACTGAGCATGAAACCAAACAATCCCTGGGGAGAAGAATGAACTAATCACTGAGAATAAAACCAACCAATTCCTGAGCATGAAATTCAGTCAGGGATTGCAATCCAATTCTCACCCTGAAAAGTCTTAACCCTGAAAAAACTGTGACCCCTACGAAGCCCTATATAAGCCCTGTACCTGTTCAGTTGGGAGTCGCCTTTTCCACCCTGGCAGAAATATCCTCTCTCCTGGATTCTTCCCTCCCAACAAATCTTTGGAATGAGATTTGGGTGAAGACTTCTTTTGCTGGAACAAAGCACAGCAGAGAAGGGAGCAGAGAAGTAACAGCTTTCTTCGGAGCAGAGAAGAGTGGAGCCGGACTGTAACACTTTGCCTGGGGAAATATGCCCCTAGCAGAGAGGAGTTGTTAAGCTCCTGGGTAAACTGAGGAGGAGCAGAGTAGAGCCAAACTGTAACTTTCCCTGAGGAAACTGTTCCTAGTTGAGCAGAGTTGTTAAGCTCTTCGTGATCTGAGGAGCATCGTAGAGCCGAACTGTGTAATTTTCCATAAGGAATCCTGCCCCTAGTGGAGCAGAGTTGTTAAGTTCCCAGGAACCTGAGTAGAGCAATAACAACTTCTCAGGGGAAACCCCTCCCCTGCCAGAGCAGAGCTGTTACATTGGGGAAGCCTTCTCCTGAAGCAGGGCTGTAAGATACTATGCTTATAGTGCCTGTAGTATTTCTTGACTCCTGATTGCCAGGATCCCTTTTCATCCTAGCTGTAATGCTTACAGATACAGACACTCCATCCATAAAAACGATCAGAGCACACATTTGGGTCATTTTTTGCTCTCTTGAGCTACATTAGTTAACTTTCTATTACTGTGATAAAACACCATTGTTGACCAAGGTTTTCTGTCCTGCCCGGTCCTGCAGCTGTTAAGTCCCAAAGAATCACACAGAGGTCTACATTAGTTATAAACTGATTGACCCAGTAGCTCAGACTTCTTATTAACTCTTATAACTTATATTAGCCAATTATTCTTGTCTATGTTAGCCATGTGGCCTGGTAGTCTATTTGGTGAGGTAGTCACATCTTGTTTCTTCTGAGGCTAGGTCACAGACTGCAATCTGAGACTTCTGTCTTCCCAGAATTTTCGTTTCCCCACCTCTACTTCCTGTCTGGCTACATTTATTTAAAATATATGTGACAGGGTATAGACCATTATCCCACAGCACTCCCCCCTTTTTTTCAAAACAAGAACTCTGAGTCAAATCTTCCTTGTTTACTTCTTCCTGACCATTACCCATAACAACTTGTAACCAACATTCTAAGGAAAGGAAAATATCCATAGTCCATTTTTGGGAATGTGGGCATAGTTTTCCAGGCTACTTCCTGCTGATTAGGGATGCTGATAATCTTATGGGGACCCAAAGAAAATTTAGAATTATAATCAAGTCGTGACTGGAGTATCCTGTGAGGCTTGATCATCTCAGGCAGCAGTCTTGAATCTGTAGACCAGCCTGCCATTGAACTCACAGATATCTGCCTGCCTCTGTCTCCCAAGGGTTGGGATTAAAAGTGTGTGCCACCACACCCAACTCACTACAACCAAGACAACTTATAGAAGGAAGGATTTGTTTGAATGTAGGGCTCCAGAGTGTAAGAGTCTATCTCTAACATGGCATCAGGCAAGCATGGCAGCTGGAGCAGCAAGCTTAGAGTTCATATCTTAAAACAAACAGGAAGCTGAAAGAGCACTGTGAGAGTGATGTGCAATTTTTAAAACCGCAAATCCATCCCCAAGTTACATACTTCCTCCAACAAGGATACATCTCTTAAGCCTACCCAAACATGACCATTAACTGGGGACATTGTATTCAAATCCTTGAGACTTTAGGGGACATCTCATTCAAATAACACACAAGCTATTCTTAGATTATCTTGGGTCCTCCTATTCTCCTGTAAAAGTGTCATTCAGTAAGCAATGAAAATTTTACTCTTTTGGTATATTGTGATACCATCTGTATTCATCTCTGAACCACAATTTCTATCTCTGACTATGGGATGGCCAAAATGAACAGGAATTCTTCTTCCTATCCTCTGTTACCTGAACACAGACATCCTGAACCATCTAAGCAGCATCCATATATCATTGGGGAATGCCTTCTAGCTACATTTCATGAGAAAATATTCACCCCTTAGTTTTTATGATTTACAAGACACCCCTCCCAGCTTAGCACTGTAGAAACTGGAAGCAGAGTCTCCAGGTGAGTTATTGATAGTTATGTTTGGGTCCATCCATTGTTTCTCTGAGCTTTGCATTCTTCCTACTGGGGACACAGGACACATAGCTATAAATAGTGAGTAAAGTTAATATACTGCATTTAAGGGAACAAACTAGAATTTTTAAGTATCATATTTGAACTGGAACTTCAAGCAAGCCTTAAGCAAGTCAGACTCTCTCTATTACTGTGGCAATGTATCTCAGAAAAATATCTTAAAAAGGGAATATTTATTTGGGTTTATGGTTTCAGAGATTCAAGTATATGGTCATTTGGACCAATTACTAAGTTTTTATTGGCACAATATCATGGAACAGAGTGTGTGGAGAGGAAAACAGGCCCACCTCCTGGCAGCCAGAATGAGGACTGAAAATATGGTATACCTTTCAAAGTCACACCCTGAGTGACCTACTTCATCCAACCAGATGTCACCTCCAAGCTACCATAAATAATTCTTTAACAAGCATTCTTAGAGCTCTTTTGGTGAAGAAATACATATGAAGCTCAAATGAACTTGAGACTGTGGCTGCACACATAAGGCCTGAACAGGTAGGTTCAAGTCAGCCAGAGTCTTAGCACTGAGAGGGGCAAGTGGACATGGGGTCCCACTCACAATCAAAAAGCTATTTGAAATTGATATCGCCAGGCAAATGGAAAATTTGTTTTCTACATTTGTTTGTTACTGGGTATATCAACCACATTTGCCCAGGAGTACTTTGTCAAGACAAAGAAACAAAAATAAATAGAACAAACAGAAAAAATCAAACAAACATGCATGCTTTTTTTGTGAAAAAAGCATTCAATGCGTTTGTGAATTTTTTGATTCTATTTTTTTGTCTCACTGTTTTTGTTTGTTTTGATTTTCTTTTTTGTTAAAAGGGATAGAGATAGATAATAGATGGATAGATAGATGATAGATAGATAGATAGATAGATAGATAGATAGATAGATAGATAAATAGATAGATAGATAGATATGAGTGACAGAGAGAACATAAATTTGGGTGGGGATGGAGTTGGGAAGAATCTGAGAAGAGTTGGGAGAGGGGAAACATGATTGAGACCTATTATATGAAATAAATTAAATTAATATAGAAAAAAGATTTCAAGCAATAGGAATTGGCAGATTAGAGGATACACACATAGCCAGCTTCCATAGACTCCAATCTCTCTGGGTTAAAATCTGGATTTAGCGTATTTTGTTTGCTAGATTTATTTCAATGAAAGCTGTTATGAATCTTTCTCTCTAACAAATCCAAATTACCTACTTGAGTTCTTTGCCTTTTTCTAAGGTTTTTCTTTGCCTCATTAAGACCGGAGTGGTGTGGAGAATTCCATCCTGATTTTCTGTATTATTTCTACTTATGGCCTTTTAAATTTTTATAATATTTTATTTAAAAGTATTTTTTTCAATTTACATACCAACCACAGTTCTTCCTCCCTTCCTTTACTGGCTCTTCCCTCACCTTCCTCCCACCCAGTCCCCCATCCACTATTCAGAAAGCTTAAGGCCTCCCAAGGGGGGGTCAACAAAGTCTGTCACATCAAGTTGAGGCAGGACCATGTCCCTCCCCCCCTGTATTGAGGCTGAGCAAGGTAACCCTCAGAAGGGAATGGATGGTATGGACTGGTAGGAAGGGAATGGGAGGAGGGGAGGAAGTGGGAACTTGGATTGGTATGTATAATGAAAAAAGACAGTTTGTTTTCTTTTTTTTTAAAAAAAGAAAAAGAAACTCAAATCCAAATGGATGAAGGATCTAAATATAAGACCAGATACTCTTAATCTGATAGAAGAGAAAGTAGGGATTAGATTTAAACTCATTTGCACAGGCAATTACTAACTGAACAGAATACTGTTAGCACAGGTACTAAGACCAACAATTAGTAAATGGGACCTCATGGAACTGAAAAGCTTCTGTTAGGCAAAGGACACTGTTATTCAGACAAAACAACATCCTATAGAATAGGAAAATATTTTTTACCAATTACATATCTGATATTGAGTTAGTATGTAAAATATCTAAAGAACTAATCAGACAAACAAACATAAAGTGGGCACAATGAAAACAATCCTCAGAGAGAAATTTATAGTTGTAGGTGCCTTTAACGATTAGAAAGAGCAGAAATAAGTGGCCTAACGACACAGCTGAAAAAGCTGGGGAAAAAAAAAAAAGAACAATCCAAGTTGTTCAAAAACAAATCGAAACCTAGTTGATGGCAAGAAATAATAAAAATGAGAGCAGAAATCAATGGTTCACAAAGCGAGCAATACAAAAAAATCAAAACCTAGGAACTGCTTGAGAAGATTAAACAAGACTGACAGACCCACGGCTTGACTGATAAAAAGGAAAAGATAACAGAAATTGCCAGAATAAGAACTGAATAGGGAAAAATTACATCAGACAACAAGGAAATACAGAATATCATACAGGACTATTTTTAAAGCCTGTACCCCATTAAGCTGGAAAACCGAAAGCCTAGATTCAGCCAAACCGCCAAGAAGTCCACAACCTAAACAAAACCACAATAAATGAGGAAATTGAAATGATAATGAAAAGCCTTCCAGCAAAAAAGGGGTCAGCGCCAGATGAATTCACTGCATTCAGACATCTACAGCGAATCCTTCTTAAGCTATTAAGGACGACGACGACGACGACGAGGAGGAGGAGGAAAAGAAGCAGAATGAACAGAATGAATACTCACAATCGCTTCTACGAAGCCAGTATCACTGTAAAGCCGAAAGCAGGTAAAAACGCAACAATAAAAAAAAAAAAGAGCCAAAGAGCACGTAATAAAAATGTCCAGTAGCAGACATGAAATTCTCTTTTTTGAGTTATCGACCAGGGCTCTCCAGGAAACAACCAAAACACATAACGTTTTGCTAGTGCTCTTCGTTGCGCTTAAGAGGTGGAATACGCCGTGCACTTCAGACACAGGGTTCAGAGGTTCCTGATCTGGAACTGAACGGAAAGCCTCCTCCCTGAGTACTAGTTTTCAGGGTACCAGAAAGTGCCATGCAAGCTTCCAAAGGAGGGAAGCAGCAATTCTATCTAGAAATGAAGTCCAAACACTCCAAACAACAGGAGTAATACAACAACTCTCTGGTTGCATTAGCTGCACTCATACCTTGGCAATAAACAGCAGCTCTCTAATTGGACTTAAGACCCACACAACAAGTGAGAAATCATGACTGGTACTGGAAACCTGGCCATCTCCTCAGGGGTACTGAAGTTATGGATCTTGCAGGAGACCATACTAGTCACTATTTTACTAAACCAACATAATCTCTAACAACAATATAAACATCTATTCTTAGTGCTAACTCTTAACCATGAAAGCTTCTCTTTGTGACAGAGACCACACACCTGATCAAAATGCAGAGTTGTGAAGCCAAGTCCCATTGGGTACATCTACAAGATACTCTGGCACCTTAAGACTCAAGGAGCACTGTGGAAGAGGGGGCAGAAAGATTAACAGGCATGCGATCAAGGAGTTTCCTAGTAAAGTCAGAAGTTACACCCATATAGTTCCACCAACACAACACCTAAACATGAGCTTAACAAAGAAGATACCAATAGGCATTTGAAAACAGATGTGGGAAAGTCCATGATGCTTCAATCTTACACAAAGCACTACATACAGAATGTAGCACGATTTCTATTGGTCTTAATAATAAAAACACAGAGTCAAATTTTAGGGGTATGAAAGCTGAAAGATAAGAGAAGCAGAGCAACCAGCCACTAGTGCCTTCCTCTACAAAATCCTCAGACTCAATGTGGTATTTGGTCCTCAGACTAAATGTGGTATTTGGTCCTCAGACTAAATGTCTTCTCTACAAAGCCTCAGACTGAATCCTGAGCTCCTGTCTCCTCCTGACTGATATTCCTCTCTCCACCCAGTCATATCACTCCTGTCTCCTCCTCCCTAGTGCTAGGAATAAAAGCATGTGATCCCAAGTGCTGGGATCAACTTTGTGTGAGCTACCACTGTGGCCTGGTTCTGTTTCTCTTTTTAGACTGGATTAATTTCGTGTAGCCCAGGGTGGCCTTGAACTAACAGAGATCCTTCTGCCTCTGTCTCCTGATTCCTGGGATTAAAGGTGTTTGCTACCACTGCATGGCCTCTACAGCCAACTAGTGTGGCTAGCTCTGCATTCTGATCTTCAGGCAAGCTTTGTTTGTTAAAGCACAAACAAAATATCACTACACAAGTAACTAGGGAATGCTAAGAATAGGAGAAATAGTCTTCCCCAGAGAAGGCCCACCATTTGGTTATAGAGTAGCAAAATGTTCAGCCCTGAATACACACATGTAAACATCATACAGACTGAATATGTTACAATTATATATGCTAAGCAATTAATGAAAAAGGAGGCCATAAATGTTAAAAAAGAGCAAGAAAGGGAATGTAGGAGAGTTTGGAGGGCAGGGATAAATTATGTAACTCTATTATAATTTCAAAAATAAATACAAAATAGAAAGTTGTAGATTTTCATACCACATATTTACGCACCATTTTCTTTAGTTAACCCTTCCATCCTGCTCCTTGAGCCACAGAAAACTTGGTTCAAATATAAGCTCTTTGATGAAGTAATCTGTCATTCCCATAACTAGACTCAATGTCTCCATGTAACTGTAGATTCTCTCCCTGATAACTTAATACTATCACTAAACACAATCTATTTCAGTAACTTATTTGCAAGTGAATGAATGGAACTGAGGATCATGTTAAACAAATTGAACCAGACTCAGAAGTCAAGTATCATGTATTTTCTCTTGTGGAGACTCTAGATCTAAAACTAAAATGAATTTAGAATAGGAATTAACAGAAAATAAGTAGGAAATCAATGCAAGGAGAGGGAATACAAGTTTGGGTAATGGAGGCATAAATTTAACTGAAGTATATGGCATACATGTATAAGATATAATAACAAACTCCACCATATTATTCAGATAATGGACATTAATAGAGTAAATCTCCACATATGTTACCACTCCCATATGAGAGAAATATACAAAGAAACCCCTTCTGCCCTGTAAGTAGTGTGCTAGATTCAGCTGAAGCAGAGTAATGGGAGATGAGGTCTGACGTGAATAATTTTCAAGAACCTTAAAGATTCTAAAGCATAGCCATGGTGAAAATCATTTCTTTTGGTTTGAGCCCCATGCAAACAAAGATTCCTCAAAGTGGAGTCAAGACTGTCTCTGTTACACATTTGTTTCTAGCTTCCAGGAACAGAAATAACATAAAGCTGGTGGCTTATCCTATGTTATCCTGGAAAAGCACCTGTGGCACTCCCGTTAATATTAAACAGAGGCCATCCGTTTCATAAGACTATTGAGAAACAGAAGGAAGTCACTGTGAGAAACAGAAGTGACAGCTGTGGGCTCTTGAAACTGTAAGCTATAGTTTTTCTCCTTATTATAAGATGTTTTAGTTTCTTGAAAGCTTTGTCTCTGCAGAGAGAATCCCTAGGTTTGGGGTTTTGACTGCTTTGCATATAGCATCACCTTGGAGAAAATGATGGATTAGATCTAGAAAAAAAAATCTATGTTAGGTTCTTTTCTATGGACAAAAACTTCATACAAAATTGTGTGACATTTTCTTCATTGAGTGTGATGGCTAATTTTACATGTCAAGTAAATTTGGCTGTGGTACCTTGATTTTGGTTGGTACCCTAGATGCTGCTGTGAAGTTGTTATTTTGATGTGATTTGCAGTTTACTAAGACTGTCAGTGACTATATTTCATTTGAAGGTCTATGGAAAAATAAGGAATTCTGCCTCTGGACCACTTTGAACTTCACAGTGAAGCATCAGATTGTTCTTTGGGTTCTAACCTGCTGTTCTATTACTTGGTTTTCTACTTGTTAGGCCTCAACAATGAAGTATGAAGTAAGTCAATTCTTTAATATATATATATATATATTTGTATATGTATATATTTGTATATATGTATGTATATGTATACTATTCTCCAGAACTTCCTAATGCAAATTTAACATTTCTTTGAAGTAAAATATATTATTTTCCTGTAACAAACAATATTGATTGATCATAAGCATGAAGCCTGTTTAATAACTCATTAATTTATCTAGTATTGCCCAGATAAGTTTAGTCTCTTAGGAAGTTTTCCTTTTTCTTTTCTTTTGTATGGTACAAATTGAAATTGTCATTTGCCTTATTCTAACTACTCCATGATTTAACTAATAAGGGAGAAAATGGATTGCTTGTGTATTAGTTTCATGCCCAAAAGTAGTTAACATATGTACACAGTGATTTCTGCTAATATTTCAACACTGGCATTTATCCATTCCTACTGCCATTGGCTCTGTCCTGCCCTGCCCTGCCCTTCAATCCATTGTCCCAACACCAATTTATCTTCCACTCCTCTGCTTCTCTCTCAGAGCTTTAGGTAGGGATTAGCAGCCACTCTCCCTACACTATACAAGAATGCCCTTGTGTGCATGTATGCCAATACTTCTTTTGGTTGTTGAAATTTTTCTAAAATACTATATCTTATTTGTGGCTTGTCTATGAAGGTTTTAGACTATCAGATGGCATATTAGTAAAGAAAGAGCCTTGCTGCCTGAACTTTCCTAGTGAGGTGTAAACAAATGTCTAATTCACCCCAGATAATGTCAGATCAAATGGACAGTCCATTCAAGTCTAACTTAGTGAACAAATGAATCTTCTGCAATGACTTAAAAAGCAGAGATAAATGTTTACTTACAAGAAAGTAGGTGGTCTTAGAAGAGCTGTGTCACGGCTGTTGACGTCCCAAGCACTGTATAAATGGAGCCCTCCTCTTCTAAATCTCCTATCTCAAATGCACTGGGGCACCTCTGGATACCAACTGAATACTGAGCTAGGAGGAAGACAGCTGTAACATCAGCTGATTATCCAATGACATCACTCCTTTCTATGATGTAATGTTAAAAGCCCAGTCCTATGAGTGTAATAATGGTAGCTGAAATTTCAAGAAGGTAATGGCTATGACATGTGCAGAGGACAGCATTCTACAGTGCTTCATTTGGTTTTACGTTCATTTTGCTTCCTTTCCTATGAAAAACCCTGCATTTTGCATTTTGATACAGATGAATGATTGTTTTCATCCATTTAGAGCTGGCTATTGGATTGCTACATCATAGCAGTACTCTTTTATGCTCAGTAGCAGTTTGACTAATTATGAGCCTTTGAAATAACTGGTGCCCATTCAAAAAGAAGCTTCCTTGACCATGATTCAGAGCAGCAATAATCGTTGGGCTTGAACATAAATGCTAAGAAAGCAATTAGGCAATTTGACAGGCATATAATTTCCACTAACCAAAATAAGAACAATAGTTTCTTCTCTGGGACCTATGACCTCCTAGCTATAGAATTTTGTCTTATAGTACCAAACATGTGGCTTCTCATGTGAAGCAGATCCTAAACCAGTGATTCATTCAGTATTCATATTTTCCTCCTTCATACCCTTCTCTCCTCTCAATCCCTCATGTTCCCATCCTCACCCACCCCCAATCTGGCCACAAAATCTCTCCTTTTTCCCCTTCCCGGGGAGACCCAAGCTTCCTTCCTGGGCTCTCCTTGTTTCCTAACCTCTCTGGCTCTATGGATGGTAGCATGGCTATCCTTTACTTACAGCTAATATCCACTTATGAGTGAGTTGATACCATGTTTGTCTTTCTGGGTCTGGGTTAACTCACTAATGATATTTTTTTTCTAGTTCCATCCATTTGCCAGCAAATTTCATGATGTCCTTTTTTTTTTTTTTAAAAAAACAGCTTAGTAATACTCCATAGAGCAAATATATCACATGTTCTTTATTCATTC